AACAGGAATTAATAGCAGTTTAGAAAATTATTTTGCGTAAACTGAAGAGTAGATTGTCACTCGAATCTGCAAAACTCTGATGGGTAGTCTCTTAGGACTTGTTTCCCTTTAATAAAATACATGTGTATAGATATTCTTCATCTTCCTGCTTCAGCAGTGATCATAAGATTAAGGTTACCAAACAATGATTTTTTTTTTTTTTTCAAAATCTCTTATAACTTGTTTCCTTTTAATAAAATACATGCGTTTTTTCATCTTCCTGGTTCAGCAGTGATCATAAGGTTAAGGTTACCAGACACTGATGTTTTCAAAAATTCATTGCAGACGCTCTTATAGGTACAGAAAGGGCTAGTTACATTGTGGTTTTCGCCATGCTTAATGTTTCTGTGATTAATTCTCTTGATGTAAACGTATTTCAGATTAGGCGCATGAATTCATTGTAGTCAAAAGGGCTGCTCCTGTCGTTGGCGAAGGCCTTAGGCATTTTATTAGGCATTAAACAGTATTAGACAGTACACTAGGCATTAGACAGAACAAATTTCACTCATATGTCCTTATTTTGACGTAGAACATCCAGAGGGTCAGATTCAAAGATTTCCTAACTTTCTCCCCTTACCATTAGTCTCTTGACGGGACTTTCGGGTTGAGTATTTTAAGTGCTCTCACGCCGAAAACACATGATATATTTACAAACATCAATATTTCTTCCGGGATTCGAACTCGGAAACAACCCTACGGTAATGGGCACTATGTCGAAGCGAGAGCATGCATAATGAAAGTATCCTCTTTTCTTAAAAGGGGTTAGTTTGCTTAGAAAACATTGTATGTCTACGCGGAACAAGTTAAATCCAACCACTTGTTCTCTTGGATTGGGCCGTAGAATGAATGAATGAAATATGGCTATTGTTTTTCATTATTACCTATTATTATTATTGATTTTTGGTTTACTTAATGTGGAATGAGGATGCAAAAAGGGTTTTTTCAAAATTTCTCCCACAAAACTATCCATAAAACAGACAGACTTTAAACGTTTTACCCTCATTTACCCTCATAAATAATTTATTCTAAATATCTCATACTTTAGATTCTTTAAGGCTGATAATCTCCTATAGTAGCTCACATCTACTGGAGTAGATCATACCATCTCACTATAAAAGTCTAATACATATTATATACTGAAACAAAATGGGGACGAAAAATAAAAAAAATTATAACCCAAAGAATTAATATAAAATGTGTTAGTTTGGCTAGAAAGTCAGAAATTAAGAAAAAGAATATTTCAAACTGCATGTTTAAATTGCCGTTTGCTTCTTTATATATCTTGGGCAAGAAATCATCTTTTTCATATATCCTACCATTCCTTTTTATTAAAGGCAAAAACTTTTTATTTTTATTTATATTTATTAATAATAATTTTTATTAATAATAATTATTATTTTTAATTTCTTAAATGATTAGGATATTACTATGATTTAAATGAGAAAAAATATCAGTTGCGCTCTTTTGGTGTATAATGAGGCCATTCTTTAAATCCTTATCTCTGAACCATTAACATTAGATAATTAAATTTATAATTCATAGGTATTTCGGGATTTCTATATTGTTAAGGTTCCATGCGTTCTGAAGAATTCCAATCATTTAATAATTTTCCGATTTTATCACTATTTTGCATCGTCATGTTTTACTTCCCACACAAGGACGTTTCTGATGAAATCTTCCTCTTCAATTAATATATATTTTTTAATTTTGATAAATATTAATGTATTGTGATACTTCCTCAAAAATGGATTTCTCGTATTTAATTATTTATTCAGATTAAATTCGAAAACTTTTGAAAGACCGATATTTTGCTATATATAAAAAGAAGTCATTAAATTAATAGAAACATAATACTCGCACTTTACTAATCAACAGAGAGAAGCATTATGAAATTATTGCTTATCATTTTTGATAAATATATTTGATTTCAGCATCAATAAAATATTAACGATTGAGGGATCTGAATTCAAATTAACATACATCAGTATTCCGCAATGGTAGCTTAAAAACAGTATGAGAAAATCAAATTCATTTGTATTAAGCCTAAAAAAGTGAAAGGCACAAATGTATAGGAAAAAAAGGTAATTTAATAGGCATGTATCAAAACTAGAGTTACGTATAAAATTGCTTGCATCTGTATAAGAATCATTGTAGCATTAATAATAAGCACCATATTATAATTATTTACATCTTTAAAATTTGTGTTTTGTCCTAAATTTAATATATTAGTCAGCACGTTAATATTGTAATATGGATTAATTCCAACGCCTTTTATGTATTTTTTTAACATTGGGTACGCTACTAAGTACGGTTATTTGAAAGATCTTGCCGGGTTTCATATTTCAATAAATTTGAGCATGATAAAAATATATACAGTTAAAAAAAAACACATAAAAGGCAATGTCCTGTGAAACTCAGAAAAATAAAATATAAGTTCCAAGCATGGGAAAATATAATAAAATGTATTTATATACATTTACGGAACTGTTGATTTTCATCATATACGAAACTAAAAAAGCAAGCTGAAATGTTATAAAATAGTTTGCAGTAAGTGTTTAACTATATCCAAAGAAACATTAATTATCCTAGCTTAAAGATGGTGTCAAGAAAACGGTTTGCGGAATAAGTAATAGTTTCAGTTAAATTCTTTAAAAAAAGAAGTTGTAGGGACCAACAGATTGCTATACATCCTCTTAACTCGCGAATTAGAAAAGTGTTGAAACTAATGATAATTTAAAACATTTATCCAAAGGGATTTATCCCAGTCCAAAGGGGCTTTGTCCCTGAAGGACTATTGTTTTCGTTTTGCGATTTTGCGTTGAATCACTATAAATGTCCGTTTCACTTTTCAAGCTGTTGCCAACAAATGTTAAGAGTCCTTCATTATATTTAAAGAAATTAAATAATGAAAAATCTGCATAAATGTATGTCTATTTCTCGCATTGTGATAAAACAACGGTACATAGAGCCATCGAATTTTGAATGACGTAATCCTACTGCGAATATGGGCATGTGGAAGCCCAAATTTGAAATTTGGGATTTGTTTTATTATCGATTTCATATTTTGCAAAACTTTAACGAATTTTTGATTAACAAACTCTAGGATTTCAAAGTGAGCAATGGCAACGTTGTATAGAAAAAAAAAAAAAAAAAAAATCTCCAGCGCGTGAGATTCTGTATCGGAAATTCTAACTATGGGCTCAATTTAAAACTATTTTGCGATATTGCTCTTGAACTGAATTTTGTGGTTTAAGGGCGAAGAACATGATATTTAATAAATAAAGGTAACAGACAAAATGCTGAAAAAAAACGCCCCTTTAGACGTAATTTAAAATCTGAAACCTTTCAGATTTTCTTTTATTAAGTTTTTTTTATTTATAAATTCAAAGTCTCATGAAAGGCAAATCATTAAATTGACATTTTGTGTAATTATTTGTACACCTGTGAAATTGCATTTTAGCGCCTGACATAAAAAAACAAAATATTCATTTTTCTCACTTTTCATGAGACATTTTACCTACATCAAGAAATGAATGGTACATTTATTTTTACAAAATTATACATATTGCAATAAATTATATACTATATTGCTTCAGATCATGTATTTCAATTAAATCCATCTTGCTGTCTCAAACAAAAAGTAACAGACAAGGACCACACTACATGATTTAAAAGAAATCTAAAATTCCTCTCATATTTCTTATCTTTTCATTCCCTTTACATTGGCCTGTTTTAATGAGAGAAAAAATTATGTAAGCGAATGAAATATTTATTTTTATGCACATCGCGTGAAATTTCTTGAAATCCTTAGATTAAAAACAAACATGTAGTTAATTAAATGGCACTCTTAATCACGCTCATGCTGGAAATTCTTAAACCGTTGCATGTTTCATTATTGTTCAGTGCCTTCAACTCTATAATGCAATATTATATTAGAAAACTTCTGTTTACGTTGCTTAACTTTATAAAACATTATGATTAGAGGTGCAAATTAATAATTAAAGAGAAAGTTATTGAAAATTAATGCTTAAGTGTGTACTTTAGTAAGTTGCATTGTATATGTAATAAGTTCTCGAGTTAATTTTTCTTACAGAGAAAAAATATTTCATGTAAAATAGCAACTTCTGGACGCTATTTTTTCATATCATGTTAATCCTTTAAACTGTACCTTTTCACACGGAAACGGAATTTATTAAAAGTATATTAAAATGATTCATCATCATTCATTGTTTTTATCAGTGTATTAAAAAGATTTATTAGAACAAAATTTACCAATAAAATCTCATGTGATCGGTAATTTTTACATGTAACTCTAAATAAGTAGTAAGTAAATGAATTAAACGTTTAATCGTTCAAATGTAAACAGAAGTACGAGGATTACATTTGAACGATAAATGAAAATATTTTAGAAAATGAAAAAGCTAAAAGTAAATTATATTTTTTCACGTATTTCTTAATAAGATTAAACAGAAAAGTACTGTTATAATATTAAATAAATAAATAAAAATGTAAACTGAAAAAATTGATGAAAATGCATTTCCAAATTTATTAATATTGACATGAATTTTATGAATAAAAAACTTCGTAAATCATTACATGAAATATAATTTCTAAATACTACCGCTCTTTATGCTTTTTGGATTTGTTTTAGAATTAACTCATTTAGTTGGCAGCAAAATTTTTATTTTTCACGTTAAAATCCTCTCTTTGAATATTAATTAAAAAGCGATAAAATTCCATAATTTTAGCAATTGTTTGTGTGTTTCGATAATTTAAAATAAATAATTAGATATAAAAGTGTTCATACTTGGAAAATAAATCGAGAAGTTTTTAAAAGTGAAATGCTAAAAATAAATTTCAGCATCATGAGTTTTCTCCAAATTCCCTTTTATTTTAAAATAAATCTCTTGATGCGAGAAAAATAAAGTCATTTTTCCTTAAAAAAGAGAAAACGTCCCTACCTTCTCCGAGAATTATCCACTGGCAGACGGCTAAAAACAATCCAAGCATAGCGACCGGTCGCTAGAGGTTCGAGGCACCGAATCGCGCTCCATGTGAGTGAGTCTCAACTCAGAAAACTCCTGTGACGGAGAACACGAAAACACCCGAACGCGAGCCGATTCCTCAAGCCGAGTGTACGCTACAACTGCTGCCATCTATCGGCGGACCTCCACATTATAATCGATCGAAAGTCAATCTTCTTACGGTTGTTCGGTGGTGACCTCACCTAGTGTTTCGGGTTCTGGAAGACAACTGAAAACATTCGATCATTTCTCCCTCTCTATTTCTCTTTCTCCACCACTATTTTTCATTTTGTTTTTCTGTTTAGGAGGCGAAAAAGTGGAGAGTATTGAATGCTGTCTAGCACACGTGTGAGTTTCCGCAATAGATTATTTTAGGTTATTTCCTCCCTTCCTCTATTTTCATTTTTATTCTCCGCTCCCGCCCCAGGTTTGGCAAAAGAATGAAAAGAGAATAACTTCTTTCCTCACCTCTTATATTCCCCCCTCAAATGTTTCTCTTTTCCCATTCAGTTTGTTTTCTCTGTACGATGAAAAGCTTGTCAACTACATTTTTTTATCCTTTCTTCTACAATACACACAACAACTGAGAGGGTTACCTTTATATGAGCAAAACTTATTTCACAGAAATTTTGTTTCTTTTTCATCGCAACTCTTCAAAAAATAAATATTTTCATCGGCAAATCGTAAATATACATTGCTAGAATGTGTTAAATATTAAACTAAGATTGGAAGAAAAGCATAAAGTAAGTACATCATGTTTTTCTTCAAATTCGAGTGCATTTAAAATGTAAATTAAATTTAAATTATTTAATTTTAAACTTGAGCCTAGAAGTATCACAACTTGATTTTATTCATTTTCCGCATCTCATACAATTCATTTTCTCCATAATTTGCGAACATACGATTATGCTTTCATTATTATATTTTTTTAATTTGATAAGTACACCTCCTGGACTCCGAAACTCCTGAGCTCATGAACGGCATGCAGCCTGCCGTTCATTCGCAGCGTTAGGACTGTGGGCAGGGATGAGATACTGGAACGGTTGTTGAGATATGGCTACCGCTGCTGGACGGGACTTGTCTTTGATTAATTTCACGTATATTCTGTCGCAAAATTCTTTCGTGATGGAGAAGTATTTTACCCTCCTGCGGACCGTGCATGTTAGTACACTTGTACTCCTGTTCTACTCAAGGCGAGGTTCATGATGATCAGATTTCTTCTGGCAGAAAGACATTGGTAAAACTCAGAAAAGGAGGTTAAACTTTCCTTCCTGTGCTGCACGCCACTAAGCTAAGTGCTAAGCGCGAGGTTTCCGTAATTGTAATAATCGTTACCTAGAAGAATAAAATAAGATTTTGAATTTAGGAAACATAGAGAAACACATACAAAGAATAACTTTTCTTAAATTTTGTACAACTGCAGCATTCCAATTTTTTTCAAAAGCAAATACGTATTCTACTGATTATAAGATTACTGGTCTACCACTCATATAACATGGCCATTTCAAAATTTAATAAGTTTCGTTTGACCAATATTTAGAAGTACAGCTTGAAACACTATAACAAACATACTAATTATTTACATAAACATGGCAGTATAAAAAATCCCCGAATTAGCTCTATAGACCGCTAAAAAACGGTTAGCGGAGTTGCGGTTGTAGCTGTAATGACAGCCGTGATAAGATAGTGTCTAGATGCTGTCCCAGTATCGGAAATTGTTACAGTTGTGCTTTTGTAATTAGTACGTGCTTGTGGTAGTCTGCGATTATATCATAGATAAAATGCTTGGGCAAAGAGCCATAGTTTTGTGTTAAATTGTATAAATTGGATACGGAGATACGGAACACTCTTAAATAACCTTACAGCGACGAGTCATATGTAATATTTCCATTGACACACGCACTTCAAAGAAGAAAAGACATCCCTTAAAAATCATGAGCTATCTGGAGGACCTTCAACGAGCATAACCTTCGGAAATGGGAAACGAACGAACTTCAGCATGAAGATCGTCAAAGGGTTATCAGCGACACTGAAAGCATTGCTGGTGGGTTGTACTGTCTGGTCTATTTCGTAGAAGCTGATACTTTAACACAGATAAGTAACGTAACATTTTGTCAACAGAGTTATATCTTATATCGAGAACTTTTTTTATACAACCTTATCCTTCCTGATAAATATAGTGATTACCAATGCTGGCTGCCGATGGGCCTAGGATAGAAACCTTAATGGTATGCCTGATTGTAAGTGTACTGTGTCTGTGCGTCTTAGGATGATTAAAATATTGTCGATCCAAAAGTTCTGCAAAAAAAAAAAAAAAAAAAAAAAAAATTCTTACAATATAAAAATGTGTTCCATGTCACCTAATACTGAAAATATAAAAGTTTGCTTGTGCATTTTATATATACCTCTTTTCTAAATCGATGTACTTCAAAACAGTTATCAGTTTCATGCAGCATATGCTCTATTGAAAATTCCCTGGTTGTCTGAGTCCAAAATAACAACACTTGGGTAAAAGAAAAAGCATTCTTTAAACTCAGGATGAACAGCTATCTATATACACAACCATCGCCCACGATGAAAATAAATGCAACAGGTTTCACAGTTACTTGTGCATCATGGAGATTCCTCCGCAGAAGCCGAAGCACCTAGGTACAAAATCATGACTCGTTTTAAAGTTTATATGATGCGCGCTGCGCATGCTCGCGCTGCGGCAAGACGACATTGTATTAGCATGATTTCCGTCACATATGATCTATATCTGGTAAAGAGTTAATGTATAATGCAACAATTCGTGCCAGCTTTCTTAAAATGTGTTGATGCACTAACATAGTACAATGAATTATGTTGACCTTGCCGGAGGTCAAGAAAATAAGTTTTTTCACCGCTGATATCACCATGGGATGTATCAAATATTTTTCTTTGAACACTTCAAACTTATTTATCTAACATAATTTCTTTCTGCTTTTTCACTACTAGTGCAGAACTTGTACTCCGTCAACAAATAAAAACTATTTATATCCCTTGTCTTCCCCCACAAAACTTCTTTTACACACACTTCAGAAGAAAATTTTGAAACATGATACTCATGTTTTAATTTTTAAGAAATTTAAACGAATTTTATTTTAGTTATTTAAATTACTTGACATGCATCTTAAACTAGAGAAATAAAATGCTTCGGAAGTTAAAAAAAAAAAACTGCAGATGTTATTTAAATAATAATTAGCAACAGAAAAAGCCAGTAAAGTGACAATGTTACTGATTTTAGCTTTCAATAAATAATAATTCTTTTGGCTTCTTAGCACATTTTCACTCAGGTTCTTGCTTTCAGGGAACTTGCTTTTATTCGTTTATTTATTTTGGCTAATTGCTTATTAAATAATGCGCAAAAATGCACATAAGAAATAAATATCCTCTGATCTTAAGGATCTTAAGGATTCGTTTACGCCCAATTATTGATAATTTCTTTTAAGAGTAGGAAAAAAAAGAATTAGTCTTTCTAGCCCAAAGGACGTTAGACCAGAAAGGCTTTTAATTTAGTTTTGGCATTTTGCGTTGATTCACTATAAATGGCGAATCATTTTTTAAATTGTTGCCATCAAATATTAGAGCCCTGTATTATATTTAAAGAAATTTAGTAATGAAGAATCTGCATAAATGTACGTATGTTTCTCGCAGTGCAACAACGGTACCTAGAGCCATCAAATTTTGAATAACGTACGTCTCCACCCGAATATGGGCATCTAGAAGCCCAAGTTTGGAATATGGAATTTTTTTATTACCTATTTCATATTTTGTAAAGAATTTATGAGTTTTTGATTAAGGAACTCAACGATTTCAATGCTAGCCATGGCAACACTGTACGAAAAAAAAATATTTTTATTTCCAACGCACGAGACTTTATATCGGAAATTCTAAAGATATGCTCTTTTAAAATTATTTTGTGATATTGCTGTTAAATTTAATTTTATGGTTTAAGTGCAAAGATCATGACATTTAATAAATAAAGGTAACACACAAAACGTAAAGAAAAGTCCCTTTGGGCGTAATGTAAAATCTGAAAACTTTCAGATTTTTTTTTTTAAATTTTATTTTATTTTCTGAGATTGCGGTTGCATTCATTCTTAAAAGTGAAGATTTAGTTTTAAAAAACTACGTTTTCATCTGCTATCGAAATTCCAAAACATTGCCTAGAACAGAAAACTCACTAGCAAAGTGCTATTAAAAATTATTTTATTAAATGCCTAACTCAGAAACCTATAACTAAGGACCATTAGTGGCCGAGTGTATAGACAACTGAACATCGGTAGATCAATACTCAGTTGTTTTTCTAAGATAGTCTTCTACGAAAAGATCCTTATGGAGAGAGCCTTCTTGTGCTCAACCTTACGATTTTAGCCATTCATTGTTGTACAGATGAGCCACGATATCAAGAAGAGAGAAAATGGATTACCAGTATTTTTGGCTCAATATCTCAGAAGATATCTACAAGTATGAAACAACATTTTTAAGAAATTGCAAAATCTTGAGAGCTTTTTTGGGAGACTTGGTCTAATGTCACTGATACGGTGATAAATGTTTCAACCAAAAGACCGAATAGTACACTTAACAAAATATAGCTCTCATTCTGTCCCAATTATTTAAGAACATTCCAATTTTTATTTGCAAACAAATTTAATGTATCTTTTTTATTTTGTTACGGAAAAGCATTCAAGGGCTATAAATCTAAGATGAAAGATGCTTTCTGGATGTACTAAGAGCAAAAATGCTCATCTTCACGTTACACATCTTGAAAATATGAAAACATGCAGCCAGCCTTAGTGTTCACCATCTTAGTATCTTAGTCACTGGTAGATCGTAAAATTTAGTGAATTAGTAAGTTATGTAACTACGTAAATTATTACATATAAAAATCTGTAAGGTTCATTTTAATTTCCTAATGTATTATTTTAAGTTACAATTATTGTCTTATCAAGCCTCGTTTCATTTCTCTGCCAAAATGTCAATTTTCTGCGCTCGTGATATTCAAATTAGGTAGAATGAAGGAGG